AACATATAAAAGGCTTAATAATAATAATAATAATAATACATTTTATTTATAAGCGCTTTTCTGGATATTCAAAGACACTTTACATAAAGAGAACATAAAAGCAGCAAAAACAACATAAAAGCATAACCCTAACATAAAATAGTAAAAACACTAAAAACACATCTAAGACTAAGCTAAAGATTAAAAGCAATTTTAAAAAGGTGAGTTTTTGTCATTGGTTTGAATGCTGGAAGGTCGGTGCAGTCACGGATTTTGCTTAGCTAAACTTGGGCTGTGTATCTTCCCTCATGGGAGTAGAATATTTGTTTCACAGTCTGAACATGATGTTTTTAGGTTGTTACAAATGTATTATTAACAGTGAGTTCTTGTTGTTGGAAAAGTACAGCATTAGATCAATATCCGAAGATACTCAAGTAGGACTTAAAATTGTATTCTAATTGTTCTTTTATTTTTATGCTTATGATCATTTTTTGGGGTTTGCACAATATATAAAAATAAAACATCAACAAGTAACTAACCCTCAGTGACAACCCTAACCCCATCCGTACAAATCCTAAACCCTCAACATCTACCTGGATTTGATTCTTCAACCAGGAGCTGGAGGCAGAGCGCGTAAAACTCTTAGAGGAGGTGACATCCAACAAGAGGAAGATGCAGGAGCTTGAGGACAGTCTGTTGTTCAGGCTGACCAGCACCCAGGGCTCACTGGTGGAGGACCAGTCTCTCATCGAGGTTCTGAGGGTCACCAAGACCACTGCTCAGGAGGTACTGCTGTCTGTCACCCATGTTTAACTGAAGCTAAAATAAAGTTAATAAGGTTTCTCTGACTGAAACCATCTTGTCTTCCAGGTGAGTGAGAAGCTGTCGGTTGCCGCAGAGACGGAGGTGAAGATCAACCAGGCCCGGGAGGAGTACCGGCCGGTGGCCACCAGGGGGAGCATCCTCTACTTCCTGATCGTGGAGATGTCACTGGTCAACGTCATGTACCAGACGTCTCTGCGGCAGTTCCTGGGGCTTTTCGACTCATCCATGCAGCACTCTGCCAAGTCGCAGCTCACCTCCAAACGCATCAGCAACATCATCAACTTCCTCACCTACCAGGTGCGGTTCACTAGCAAGGGTTTGAGACCGAACCAAAGATGTGACCCGTAAGCCATTCTTCAATAAAAGGCATGATCTGATTTTCATTTTTTTACGTGTAGAGCTGATTCCAGTTAGCTTAGTTTTGGAAAGTGTCTGTCATTTATGGTTGGGTGGATATATCAGCGATTGGCTAAGAAAAAAAACTATAGTTGGCCGACTCGTCCCAGATGTGTCCCCTGTTCACGCCCCTCCAATGACCTATCCAAGCAGGGGCATGCTTGGATAGGTTAGATAGAGAGCTTGTTGCACATACCAAACTCTGCTCCCAGCTGAAACTGGGATGATGGTTGTGCAACTACATCGGCAATCGCGAGTTGTTGGACTGATGGTGACCCTACTGTCAATCCAAGCGTGGAAGACTATGCAATGATTTACCTGTTGGTCTCTCCCTCAGGTGTTCTGTTACACAGCCAGGAGTCTGTATGAGGAACACAAACTGCTTTTCACTCTGCTGTTGGCTTTGAAGATTGACCTACAGGCCCGAAAAATCTCACACCCTGAAGTCCTCACCTTCGTCAAAGGTCAGACACGCATCCTCTTCCTCCTTTCTCCATCCTTCATCTTCTTTTAGTATTCTGAGAGTAAATGTCTTTGTGTAGGTGGAGCCTCTCTGGATCTGAACTCTGTAGAATCCAAACCACGTCGCTGGATCCTGGACCAGACTTGGCTCAACTTGGTGCAGCTGTCTAGCCTGCCGCCATTCACCCAGATCCTGACACAGGTAGAACCCAGATCCATGGACATTAGAGCAGATAAAGCTGGAACAAAGACTTACAGGAGTTATGTTTCCTCCTGTCCAGGTTAGCCAGAACGAGCGTGCCTGGAGGACCTGGTTTGACTATCCAGCGCCAGAGGATGCCACACTGCCTGATGGGTACGAGGAAAAGGTTGACACCTTCCGGAAGCTTCTGCTTATCCGGAGCTGGTGTCCTGACCGAACCACTGCTCAGGTCTGACTCTAGACACTGTGATTCACTCCTGTAAACAGTGAAATAAAGCTAATAGAGTTTAAATAAATGTGAGTCTATGAAATGGTGTTTGTATTTGTGTGTGTGGACCAGGCACGTCACTACATCTCGGAGTCTCTGGGTCAGCAGTATGCGGAAGGTTTGGTTCTGGATCTGGACGCCATGTTGGCAGAGAGTGACAGCAGGACGCCGATGGTCTGTCTGCTATCAATGGGCTCTGACCCAACTGAGAACATAGAGAGACTGGCCAAGAACAAGGTGAATGATGGGATAAGTAAGTGTAGTGGGTGGAGAGATCAACACCAAAGTCAGTCCAAAGTCAAACCTAACATTACTGCAAAGCTTGTGGAACATGTTGTCTGTCTGTAACAGTACAAAGCTAACAATAACTTACTACTAGCCAAGAGTGATGTGAGGCAGGGGCATCCAATTGGCTAACTGTAGCAAAGCTAAGCTGGGGCTGTACGGCTGGCTATGTCTTGGCTGCGCGGTGTGGGTCTGGTGTTGGTTTAAAACCTCAATAATTCAAAGTTCTAAAAATATCTTACTAACATTTTTGACTCGTACTCAGCACCTCATTTACATTTTCTCCCTAGGCTAAAAATCAGTTTAGACTCAAGTGCTGCTTTTTAAAAAACCTGGATGTAAAACATTAAGTCTTAAATATAAAGAATGCCTGCAGGGGGCGCCGTGCCGTCCCATTTCCATGGGTCAGGGCCAAGAGGTTCACGCTCGTAGGCTATTGGCCAACAGCATGGTGGACGGCGGCTGGCTCCTCCTCCAGAACTGCCACCTGGGACTGGACTTCCTGGACGAGCTGCTGGAGACAGTCACCACGGCAACGCCCGAGACCGTGCACAAAGGTTTCCGGGTGTGGCTGACCACCGATGTGCACCCCAGGTAACTGCTGCAGTTCAACAGAACACATTACATATCAATAGTCTTACCATAATGTTTGTCCTGAGGGTGGCACTGGAGGAAAGGTCTGGAGCTGCAATGATTAGTCAATTAATCGATTAGTTGTCAACTATAAAATTAATTCCCAACTATTATGACAAAATTATCCAAGTTCTCTGATTTCAGTTTCTCATAGGCCTGCACAATTATGGCCAAAATGGAACTAGTATTTCACAGTTACAAAGCACTACTACTTTGTTGAACGATAACAGCTAGCATCAAGCTAACTGACAAACACTTCCTGTGACCAGCTTACTTCAGAATAAGTCAACTTGTGTTTCTCCAGTGAAATGCTTTTGATGTGTTTCTTTAGTCCTCTATGACTTGTATCAGAGCAAGTTGGCATCAACTCACAGACCTCTCAAACGAACCAAATGTCTTTGGGTTGTGGACAAAACAAGACATTTGAGAACGTCAGCTTGGGCTTTGGGAAACAGCAATAAACCATTTTCTGACATTTTATGGACCAAACAATGAATCGATTAATCGTAAAAATGTTCAACGGATTAATCGAGAGTGAAAATCATTGTTAGTTGCAGCTCTATAAAGGTTAGTTACTAACTTTAACTAAAGGTTAGTTAAAGCTTAAATAACTCTATCACTCTGTGTGTGTGTGTGTGTGTGTTTACAGATTCCCCATCACCTTCCTTCAGTCCTCCATCAAGTTCACCAATGAACCTCCTCTTGGTAATAAACTCCTTTCTGAAGTCAGATCAGTATCTTCCTGATTCCCCCTTCGTGGATTTACTTTGAGATACATTCAAACTTTACACTGTGTAATTAATCCAGCCATTCATAATGAATGAAATTGTGTTGTTCCTTTGCCCCTCACTGATATGCCCTCATCAGGGATGAAAGCTGGTCTGAAGAGGACCTTCAATGGCGTCACTCAGGATCAGTTCGAGATCAGCAACCTGCCTCAGTGGAAACCTCTGCTGTACGCTGTGGCATTCCTGCACACCACTGTGCAGGTATCATCCTTTTACCCTGAACAGTCTCTCTGTTCGTTCAGAGATTAAAAAAAAAAGCTGTCCCTGCATCACTACAAAATTTACTAATTTAATATTTTCTACTGCTCTCTTCCATTTTGCTGCCGTCAGGAGCGCCGCAAGTTTGGTCCTCTTGGCTGGAACATCCCCTACGAGTTCAACCAGGCAGATTTTACCTCCAGCATGCAGTTTGTGCAGAACCACCTGGATGACCTGGACTCAAAGAGAGGAGTCAACTGGAGCTGCCTGCGCTACATGTTGGGTCAGTCTTTAAATCCACTCGCGCCTCGCCTGGTCACAAACAATCTCATATTCCAAACAGTAAATGTGTTTGTGGAACAAGATTTTTGGATGGAGAGAAATAGTCCCAAACAACAGAATCTGGATCCATATCTTTGATCAGCACTGTTTGCAGTTTGGATCCTGAGGTTTGGTGCGGTTGAGCTTGGACCAGACTCACTGAGAATGAGCTTTTGTCAATTCCCAGGTAGCCCCGCCCTAAAAGCAATACCTTGCTTTTATGGTCCTGTTTTACTGTAAATGGGATCCAATCAGTTACTAAATGAGCATCCATGCTGTATGGAAGAAGACTCGAAAACTAGAGACTTGAGACCAGAAATCTCATCAGGAAACTCTTTTACTGGAGAAATAAA